GCTCATATTTAAAGCATGCCTCATACTCGAGTACCTGGAGGATGAGTTCATTTAATAATATTGATGTCATACAGTATAGATTAGCTAGAGGAGTTAAAAGGATTCTTTATACAACCGACTGTTATTTGTTATTTTCTAGTCGAAAAACGGTGGTTATATTGTAGTGAACAAAGAGCTTTGATGAGTAAAACTGATTTACTTTTTAATGCAAAATTACAGTGGCTTAGTAAAATATGAAAACCGTACATTAAACATATCATTTGAGCGTAATTTTTGCGTTGTCTTTTACATACTCCATTTTTCTTCTAACTCTGTTGTGATTTTGATTCCTCTCCGATTTCCTTTCTGTTTTCTTCAATCTAATCTTCTGCTGTTAGGTATTCCACTTCAGATTGCATAAGTAGAATACACCATAGTATAATTAAAAGAAAGTGTATCTGGTTTTCCCACTTCAATGTGTATTCATCATGTCAATTACTCCCATAGAAGAATGCTCGTAGCACTTTGGAAAGCTCTTTTTATCACTTGGTCAACGGTGGTTATGTAGTAGATAAATTCATAGCAGTCTGAGTCATTTATTATGCAACACCATACTTCCGTAACAGGGTTTAATTTTGTCTTCGAAATATGGTGGAAGCAGTAAAAGTTTAGGCCGAAAACCCCATTCTTTATATTCAAAAGATTGTATTACCTTTAATCCTTCCTTGGCCAGATAAACAATACCTGGGGAACCTTTTAATATTAACCTGTCCCGTTTTCTTTATTACACTTCTTTTATATCACTTTCATAATACTTTAACATACACATACATTTCAGCATGTGATTTACAATGGTTTTTATTTCAATAAGCTTATTTACACATGTTTTGAATTAATTCCCATGCCGAAATATTTGTCGATGTTTTTTGCTGGTACTTCTACAATTAAATGATCATAGAGTGAGTAATGGCCAATTCTAGGTACGCTATATCCTTTCTTCCTGTCGACTACCTTCATTCACGACGATGTTATAGCTTGACATAGCGGATACGATGTCGAGGCACTTAGACTAGTAGTGGGCATACTATCAATTGATCGATAGAATTCAATTAATATAAAACAAAGTTTTGACATACATTACAGAGAGAGAAATTACGGAAATTAGCACTACACTGTCATAGTGAGCTTGTGGGACAGTATTATATATCGATTGTATGTGTTATAGATCACTAAGACTTGAAACTGATACAGAAAACCACTAGATATCTTGTTCTGATGCTAAAACCCAACAACACGGATTACTACTGGACGAATGATCTCTTTACGTGGATGCGATTTGCTAAAAAAATATATTAAGAACTAGAAAACATTTAACAGCTATTCTTTCCTAGCCTAGAAATGTTAAGTAATATCTACGTTTCACTACATATATACAGTCCTATATCGAATAACATCTAGATTTCGCAAACATCACAATGCTATTTTGAGTAACTAAGCCCAGAATCTATCAGTCTACATCGAGAATCTTATCTGTGATACTAATAAAATTGTTTATCAATAAAATGACACAACCAACTGAAGTAACATGAAAAATATTAAAATATATTCTTTAAGATTAAAAATAGCTACAGTAAGCACAAACTTGACAGTTTTTTTCCCCCATCAGATCAACAACAACAAAAAAGATGAATATTACTTGAAGAATAAATTCAAACTATATGATAGTTATAAGTGATACATTTGATAAGAGCACATAACCACTTACACATTAATTATCAATTATATCGAGTGTATAACAATTGTTAATTTAATTAAGTATAATAATATAAAAACGTCATTATAACATACATGTAAACCTATTTTATATGTTAAATATTCCATGATTAATGACAGATATTAAGATCACAATTACTAATTAATAAAATACACTTACGTAATGAAAAAAAAGAAGAAGTAATAACAATTAGAATATTCTATTTTTCACTTCATCAGACAGATCACACTTGAAAAAGATATTACTTGTATATAATAAAAAACAAACTTATTACAACAGAATAACACAGTATGAATAAACTTGTATTCATTATAACTGATACAATTATTCACATAATATTTCTATTGAAGTGAGAAATAAGTTAAAGTAGCTTAATTTTAAAGCAAAGTAAAAACTGTGAACAAATTAAAATACAGGATATTTTTGTATGATGAATTGAATAAAGATAGTTAGTTAATGAGTGTTAATTAATGATCAAATGAAGTATTGTCATTTGTTTTTAATGTAGACTTAAAGTAATGAATAAAATATAAGACCGAAAAGTATAGATATTTGTTAACCAGTTTAACATTTTGTGTAGTTTGATTATGGAAGACAACTACATGATTTTGTGAACGATTTAAAGACTGTTATTATACGTATATCCTGTACAACTATTAAGTAACTAGATTATATGTCTCTTATTATAAGCTTTCAATTGACCTATTGGCTACTATTACACGATTTACTATTCTTAAGTTGCCTATAATCTATTAGTTACAGTATTTCACGCTCATAGCCACCTTTGGCTTGAACTTGAATAACTGTTATTTTCTATTGTGTGGTATGATGCGGTCTGATTTCGTTGTATATAAGCCAATTATGTCTGAAATATATGATTTATGGTATAAGCTGAGATTGTGTTCTGGACTCAACAGATACGGCAAGGGGAACCAGTAAAGACTTAGAGTTGACTCTAGGCTGCTCGTGCTGGTTAACGCGTCATTGGTTTGGTACAGTGCTAAAGTTATATAAATCGGTGTTCTAATTGGTGATTTAGTCACGTGATATTTGACGAGACATAGATTTTATGTAAGAATATATGAAGAAAAAAACATTGGAATTTTGAACATATTTTTACACAGAATAACGAACTTACTTACTTAAGGGTAAGTAGATCCTATCAATCGCATTTTGGCAATTGTCGACTGAAATCTAATTCAGATGTTAAGCGTATAGACAGTAGATAATAAACTATACAAAATAAAAGCACCATTTTTACGGAATGATTGAATACCATGTTTTACTCTGGTAACGCGTTGGAAAAACAGTAAAGTTAAACGTGGTTAGCAATAGAATTGTTATTTAGACAGATTTTCTGTGCCTTAGGAAATGAATGACTAGAGTGGCTAATTCAAAAAATTGAATCGTACTTTGATAAGAATTACACTAAGAGTAGTATACACTGGTTAAAATGAATTATAAACCCAACAAATCAAAACACCTTGAAAGTTGAACGCGCACTGTAACATCGGTTAGTTTGATGGAAAATCATAAACTTGGATGGCAAATATCCCGCAAAATCGTTTGCATATTGATGAAGATAATTAGCATCAACTAGTTTCTCCATCTTTTACATGATATTCACGAATATTTAAATCGACGAGATATTAGTCTATTCATGAAAATTACCAAAGTTCATTATACCGCTATTTATCACGGGACTGAAGAGAATTCATCACATTTACTGGACACGTCATAAACACGTTTGTTATTTATTTGATGAAACTCATAGCTTTGTTTGTTGCACTCCTGACGCCATATTACTTGGTCTACTTTATCATCAAACATGCACCAACTTCATTTTAATATAAATTCATAATTTGATTATTTCATCATTACTATATTCGTTAATTGTTAAACCTTCTAGTAGGAAATCTTCTTACAAATTAACGACGTGAAATTCAAAATTAGTGCCTGTTGGTTAAGCGCAATCACTAAGGAGCTTGGGACTCCTTTCAAAACTTTGATCCATGAAAGTTGTATCACCAATATTAAACCTTGTCAAATAATGACAAGTGAGCAACACTTCAAGATATCACTTCTCAATTACTAAAGCCTGAAAGAACCTCATGCATAACCGAAGTTACTTAATAATTTAACCAATAACTTATATTAAACACTGCGAACAGTATACAAACCGTTAAAAACAATGAATACACCACCTTCACCATTACTCTTGATATGTAGATGTATTTTAAACAAAATTCTGTATAGGTAGAAAAATATTTATAAATTGCTGAACTGATAGTTATTTACTAGGGTAAAATTCATGTCAATATATTTGATCTTTGATGATTCGATTTGTGAAATGCATACTTCCTATTTTTATGCCTGTCGAGGTAAATCTATGAAATATCTGCAACTTTATAGATTCTACGTACTGTTAGTTCAGTCTACAGTATAACATTAACATTCATTAAGTGCAAGTCCCTAATACATTATTTAAGATGCTCGACTTTGAATAACCTAACAAAACTACCTCGTAAACATACAATAAATGAAATGTGAGTAGCAGTGGGATCTAGGACACGAATTTCAATATTAACTTGTGACATAATGGCTGTGTCGAGGCAACCCGTACAGGATGCCCATATACTAACCAAGACTGATCACATTTCAGTCGAAAATATCAACAGGAAAATTCAAATAGAACTATATCTCGTAGACGGATATATATAACAAAATTGCTTTGTCATACACTCCTTTTTAGCAGGTTTCATCAATAAATTGTTTATTATTTGATTATAATGAAACAATAAGATTACGGCAACTAAGTTGAGACAACCAAATCGCATTATTCGTTCAGTTCAAATCCCATTAACATGGAATCTAAACCAATCACTCGTAATACAATAAACGTTTACTTACATTTCGGAATTTGACTTGCAAAAGTAGAGATTTGAGATTAATCAATAAATTCGTTACTGTGGACCATTTGATTTGACTGAAGACCTATTTGGTATAAGTAGTATTTTAAGAAATGATGTCCGACACTGAAATATATGTGAGCGAATATAAGTAAAACTGTAGGTTGAAGTGAATCTAAATTGTGTTTCATACAGAGGACATGCAGTAATCAAAGTACTGGCAATAATTCTTTCTCCCAGTTTACACAATTGATGTGTCTTTTATACTTAAATAATCGAGTTAGACGATAACCAGACTCCAAGTGAAACATCAACTTGAATTTCAAAACAAACGAATTCTATGAAGAAATTATGTATTTTCAAACAAATAACAAGGAGAAATAATATTTCGCAGTTGATCATTCATAATATTGTTAAGATAAAAACAAGGTTTTAGCAAATAAACTAAATGGATTGTAAAAATAAGTGGAAATATGAGAAACAAATTTTTTTTGTAAGCATTTACTAACAAGGAAATTTTTCATAAAACTAAGAATAAATAAACAATGATTAACATATTTAGTTTGTGATCAACTCAGTTGTTCAAAATTTCAATTTCTTCATATTCCAAACGCTGACAGTGATAGTACAACTAATTTCAAATACAGGAACTTCACTAGAATATACTGTAGACATAACTGATGGGGTTAGTTAAGGGTAAACTGTTAATGATTATCAAAATTCCTCTTAGAATCATTTATATATTACGTGGCAGACGTCAACTAAATAAATTACTCATAGTACTAAGTATAGTGACCGGTCATGCAGGCTGATGATGGTAACTAAATAAGTACAATTCAAATTAAATAAGTGTAGTATTCATTCGATTAAGCAGTTGCAAGATATTTGGTTAATTAAGTTATTTAGCATGATGGATTGATATACAACGGTTATTTAGTAGATGTCAGAGTAACAACTTTTCCTCACGGTTTTCATTAAACCAAAGTTGATTACAACAGCTATTCTTCTGGATACATGTTACCCGATTGTTCAAAATAAACATATACAACAATAACATGAAGGGGTTATCAATACGATTCAGGACTATTTAATTTATCTTTGTCTAGTGACACTTAATTACTATAACAATCCATGTAGACAAACAATTACATCTATCAATACCGTACGGACTTTGGAGACTGCAAGGCTTCCCACTTAAGATTAATCATTTAATAGGAAGTAAGCCATCATTATTCAACATTAAGTCGACCAAACATATTACATTTCAGAGTATGTTTCATAATAGAACATTTTTTTCTTACACGACTCTTGAGATCAAATCATTTACATTTACGAAGCAAGATTCATCAATCGCATACACGCATGAAATTGTGTTTATGGTACGCAAATATAGGCAAATTCCTGTAAGCTCGTTTACATTCTGTTGGGACTGAAGTAAAATTGGCCAACTCACAGTTAAATACAACTCCAGGATATTAGACTTAACAACCTTTCAGCTTTATTTTGCTTCTCACAAAATTAACTGACTGGATCCTTCACGTTTTTGTCCATTGATTCTTCTAAATAAATATTGGGATTTTGAGAATTTTTGACTAGGGAAAAATTATTCTCTACAATCTCCGGTGTACTTCAGCTTGAAATTCAATTATAGCAGATCGATTGAATTGACAATACACCGAGATAACTTCGCACCAACCCTTAAAACAATCAAGTTTAAAAACGCCCACAAGCATTATTAAAATGAAGTTAACATGTAGGTAGTTGGCTAGCAAATAAATTGAACGAAACCAATTTCTGTGTTTTGTTTACACATTTGCAATCAGCTGAGCTGAATCTCGGTTCTATGAATCCTCACTTTGTAAGATAATCACACTTTTGATACTGAGTCAATAAGATATGTTTTCACAACTTGAAGGCTAGACAAAATGTGGTTACAAAAATGTAGTTAAATATGATTTATTTTCGGACAAGTCTTGAAAATGTTAACACCGGAAAGCTGCACACGATGCATTAAAAAGTGATACGTTCGAAAACTATCCATAGACTGTAGGAATCCAGTAGTTTGTTACATCAGATGCAATAAACGTGACTGTTGGGGGGGGGCTGACAATAAAGTTATCGTGATTTCAACTCGTTATTAATAAATACAAGAGTTGTTGCAGAAATAATTTTTGCTAAATGGTAAGGAGTAGAAAGCGTTCACATCACTCCAAAGGTTTGCTAAGACACCGAAAAATCAGACATAAACAAAAGTAACACCAAAATAAGAAAAGACTTGGAGTTGCCCGTTTCAAAATATACGCATTTGAACTAATTAAATGCTTTTTATCACGGTCGATATCTATGAAATTTTTAAGCTGATATTTACAATGAAAGAATGACGGAGAATCGTCAACAAATATTCAGAGAATATTTACAAAGAGAATGCTAACCAACTTAAAGGTTTGTACAAATTCCAAACCAATCTCAATATTCAACACAAGCAATAAATATGACTTTCGCCGGGAGTTATGAAAGTTAACCCAGTTTATTAATCGTTTTGTTTTAGTACTTTCAAGGATTACATCATTTTACTCTAGCAAAAGTCCTGAGAATTCAAAAATGTGCTACTCCAATTCAGCATTTTACTATGTGCATAATCCTTTAACTTTAATAGTAGTATTATTGTTGTGGAAAGCAATAATTTGGGTAAATGTAGTTGTGATTGCAGTTCGATGGATTGATCTGAGGTACAATATTGCTGCGATGAAAACAAGCCCCATTCTTTAAAAAACCTTTATTTTAATGCAGAATCCGTTACTAACTTCTTTAGCTGAATCATTTTTAGAGAACATTTAACAACGAAAACCAGTTATGAGTGCTTTTAAAGTTAATTGACAGGAATATGTACAAAGAAACTCCAATCGAAGGTTGAAATACACTAGTTTCCACGCTATGAAGCTTATACTACTGGTAGAACTTTGATAATCTTTCGATGAAAAACTCGATTTTTAAGGATGAAAATAATTTCGTATAGTGATAATAATCCATGAAAGCTGACACACGCAAACATAAATCCATCAATATAAATCCCGAAAAACATGCAGATAGTATTCCAAATTTATGACTTGTTCAATTCCAATTTCTTGGAGTTTAGTAACAATTTTGATTATCATCTGTTTTTTGTGATAGATTATTCTTGTTGAATGTCCGTTTGTCTTGAAGAAGAGTACTAAATCAACAGTCCTAATATTTTATTGATGTGAGTAATTTAAGAACGACTGTCGCATGTGTAAGGTAACACATTTGATGGAAAGCACATAAGGGATTAATATTTCTAAAAGATTAATTTTATTCAAGTTTAGCTTAGATAGATGTTAGGCAATATTCATGGATAACCATACTTGAGAAGCACAATAGAGTCCAGAAAACAGTGGAAAACAAATAAACGTGAAGACGCAGTTATGCAAAAAAAACCGGTATACAGTATATGAAAAGCAGCCGCAAGAATAGTTACACAGTAATATTTGGAGTGGGATCGATGATTATCTTAAACAGAGGAAAAGTTCTAAGAGCACTAGGTTAGTGAAGAACCTGTAGGCGGAAAAACTGGAAATTTCTCAAATATTCCACACCATCTTCATTCATCGTTCATGAAATTTTATTATATCGATATATCCATGATCCAGTGTTATTTGCTTTCATAGTAACATGTAAAAATCCAAATCCCACTCTCCAATGTACATCTAGGAAATTTCATGAGATTAATCAATTTATTCTAACAATACCATTTTACTCGTGTTTCCAATATACTACTCATTAAAAGTAGTGAGAAAAGAGGACAAAGCTCAACTTCATTTGATTAGATACTTGGTATTGAACTACTCTTGTTTTTCATATACGTAGTAAGCTCTGTAGCTAACGCGCAAAATAGTTCTTAGAGAATGAAAGACGATGTACACATTTACTGTCCCAATGAAATTGAATTACACAATTAAATTAACTGAAAACCAACAACATAATGGAAAGCAGTAGTGATATTCAGCCAGTTTTCACGTAAATACAATAAGTCTATTTTTTAAAGATACAGTGGTATAAACTGAAATGCATTTTGTTATCAGTGTGTTGTAGAGCTGTAGTTCATTGACGAATACTCATTTTTAGATTGGCGTCGCATGTTATATGCATTACGCATCACATCAGAACGTGGTTGACGAGAACGACTTTGTTGGACACCATTGTTTGTTCTCACTATGCGACTACGGCTATTTGAATTGTATGCTAACGAATTACGAGGTCGGCTGTTTTCCTCTGGGGACTGATGGTAACGATCGGGTCGCTCACCTGTTGGACGTCGAGATATTCTTTGAGAAGGACGTGGTCTGGAATTTCTATCCCCGTACGTGGATCTCTGGTGCTCTGCAAAGTTCGACCGGCGTCCAGATTCACCATGATTTAGTCTAAAAGAATAATTTCAGAATACTTGCGTCGATACGTCCCAAATATAGAAAAATTCTAGACTTTTAATGTTTAAAATGACTGAGAAAAGCAATTCAGAGATTATGAAAAACGAATACACATGGTCTTAAAAATTTAGTTTCTAAAACCAATCATACAAACTCGATGGTAAATATTACTAAACTGTACCGTGCTATGCACAGATGTCACCTGTGTATGAGAAGTATGTAATACAAAACGGGAATACTGAGAAAACTGACACTACTGGATTTCAATAACTGGACCTAAAAAATGTTTATCTATAGCTCATAAGTTTTATGGGTTGTTCAAGTGCGTGATGTAAATTTTTAATAAATTCTGACTACCTTAATGAAACCATGGATCAATAAGCTAGACAGTATGTTTCTAACTACTAAATGAGGAGTTTGATTCCCGTTAAATTCAAGCTGATAATAGTTGTGTGGTGCACACTGGAAACTTAGTATAGGAACATAAACGCAAATACTGAACGAACAATGATATCAGCCTAATATTAACTAAATAATGGCAATGTTTTCATTGGACCGATTTACCTGAAATTTTTTAGCGTGATGAAAGTTATTTTCGTGTTGAATTCCCTATCAGGTAGGAAGCTTTGAAAAAAAATCAGGTTTGTTTAAGAGTACTTTTTATGCTAGATGATTCGAAATTCCACACAAGAACAATACTTAAGATCTGTAGTTACGAAACTGATGTAATAATACCGCAACATGAAAGAATTGCTCTCTTATTGCTGCTGTCAATTATAGAACACTTCCAAGTCACACTCTTGAATTCGCGAACGATAAGTAGGCAATGAAAAGATGACTCAATGACAACAGCTTCTAATAATTATTTTCCAAATCCAAAGCATATTTAGTAAAACAACTGCAGAAAAATTTTTCAACTGCTTGATAACTACAATAACGATGAGATGAAATGGTCTTAGTTATGAATGAAAGTTCACGTTCGCTGAGATATAAAAACATTATCAGCGCGAAAAACCATGAAACATAATGTTAACGCTAATGTACAACAGAAATTCAGTGTTTTGTCTTAAGTTTTGGACGATAGAACTGAAAACATGTTGAAAATGTTGCATATATGATCCAGTTTCATTTTGTTTATGTTGAGTAACTATTGCATTCTGAAATTTTGAGTTGTATATGTTGTCACCACACTGGCACCTGTGAGATCCTCTTGATTTGATCTTGCGTTTTCCTCAGTCGTATGTTATAAATTAGAAAGTTGACCTTTACACTTAAAATAATTGTTGAGGTAAGATTTGCTATCCTCTGGATATTAAGATTTGTTTGAAGAAGAACTGGCTTCTTACGTCCAATCAGAATATGTCAAAACTCCACATGAGGTATGGCGTCTTTCCTTTTAGTAAATGTTGAAGTAGGAAACTGCCATATGTACACTTAGAACGAAACATAATCCATTATTCGGTAACTGTATCATAGGTTGTACATGGAACATGCAGGAACGAGATGTTAACTAAGTATTGAAGATATCAGAAGTGGTGCTTGATGTGATATTATTATTCACATGCTCGACTTCATGCCACGACACCGACCGAAAACTTGAAGACTAGTTGTAAGATAGATAATTTTACGTAGCATTGAGTTGTATGCAGAAGTTTAGTATCTCTTTACTTTGACTACTGATTATTGAGGACTTTGGGCAACGTGACTCAGATGCGTTCATTTTGTTTTTTTGTCACTATTGAGTCCCAGTGTTACTTCATATATACCTTTCCATTTTGTCTTTTTATGATTCTTTTTGCCATTTAGCTTGTTATTTTCCGCTTCAATCTACATTTTTGCCCGACTCTACATTAATTATGACTGACAAACACAGCTATTCCATAGTATACAAGAATATCAACTTCTACACAGAGTTGATGTTCACCAAATGAGATGATTTAAACGTTTTATATTTTATGTATTCAGCTTGTTAATCATTCTCACAGTAATCATTCTAAAAGCGAAAAATTATTTTGTATTCTTTGATGTGTAAACAATCTTGCAAAAATTGCTGAAATATAGTGAGTAAACTTATAAGTATTTTATTGGTTTGGACTCATCAGTATTTCATAAAAATTATGTAAAAATCAATTGTGGTGTTTAAAGAGTTCTTGAATTTTTGCATCCCCATTTAACATTCATATCTGGTTGGAATTCATCTAGATTCATTATGAAATTAATTCATAAATAAAAAGTAAGATGCCTTAGATGCAATGCGTAAGTTTTCTCTCTCATCTGAAACGTTTTACGCAGATGGAAGTTAACAAAATGGAAATTTACAATAAAATAGAGTAGATTGGCATACATATTATTGAGTTTAATATGACACCATGCCTTATCCATTCCACTCATTTAAAAGCCATGTTATGGCAACCTACATAAATTCACAAGTCTGACAAGTTTAACAGTGATTATGGCTGGCTGACTTAGGTTGTCGCACTATTGTCTTGTATACATACATAAATACACGAAAAGTTTCATAAATCTTGCTATTTTAATTTAAATGTTTTGAAATAAATTTAAACTAGTCAACATGAATGTTGGTTAAGTAATCTGTACATAAGATTTTTACTAGTGTGATTAGGTCATTAAGAAAAATGTATTCATTATAACCACCAAGACATGAAGTCAATGGTTGTTGATCATAAATTTATGTATGGAAGTTTGAGTCTTCCGTGGGAGATTGTTGAGATATTGGAAATCAATCAATGGAAAAACATTTCGTCAACAAAAATTACTGACAAGAATTGCATTCAGTATTTCCCGATTCTAAGATCAATGGGGTGTCATCACATTGTTTTCTTATGAGCGAATCTTCTTAACACACAGAGAGATGACATTTCTTGTGTCCTATTCGAATGATTCTTATGTTTTTGAATTTATTTTCCCTTTTTGTAAGGTTATTGTGGAGTGTTGAGTCGATGAACTGTGCTGGAATTTTAACTTTTTCCTGTAGTAGTTTCTTGATAACACTGTGCTTAAATTTGTAAAGGACATTAGATACACAGTAACAACAAACTGGATATGATGAGACGATGTTCAAGAACAAGATGAATCCGTTAGAAATAGTTCGTTTTTGCATCTTTTATTCAGTAATCTTCATCTAGATATTTTCAGGTTCTCTGTCTAATGTTGAGTGTTTTTTAATAAACCATCAGTATGAGTACAGTATTCCTTATGTATCTTCAAAATGTATGAAGAAACAAACATAAACACTTTTTTATATGTAAAAAGATAGGTATTTCATTTACGAACAGATGGACAACTGTAGATTAGCTGAAGTTATTTTCATATCCAAAGCTGAAACCAAATCCTGGTTTTTAGTTGTTATTATCAATATCAATGAACAAGAAAGCTAGAGAAGCAAATAAGTGAAACGGGGTGCAAATGTACACAAAGAATACGCAAACCACAGATTACAATATATGCATGAATGATATTTAAGCCATCCTTATTATACTATGAAAATTTACCGTTTTTCTTTGCCCATATATATTCCAGGTGTAGGATTGTGTGGTCGCTCAGTGTAGCTGTAATCAATGCGAACAATACGATCATGTAGTTCCAAACCTCGAGCGCATGCAGCGCGCGCTGAACGAGCACATTCAATAGACCGAAAATATATAAACGCGAAACCACGTGAACGCCCTGTTAATAGACAATTGAGAGTATGAAGAAACATGAAATGGCATAAGAACGAGATTCTTATCCAAGTGGTTAAAACAAACTTCGACAATAGTGGAAACTATCGTGAAGATGGTAAACAATATGTACATAAATACTTTTTTTCAAAAAACAACTGAGAAACATTTTCACAACTGTTTACGCAGGATGGGTAATTAGTGTTTGGCAGCTAATTTTACTCAAATACTTTAAAAAAGGGCAAACAAGACCAACTATCCAAAAACTAGTTAACAAACACCGAAATTTGGACATGAAATGTCACTTATCACACCTATTTTGTTTTTATTCATCTAACACATATATTGTGATACAACTGGGCATAAAATAGTATGCACCATACTTTAATCTAACTATATGGTTGGAACATCTTGTAAACATTGTATAAGCTAACTATACAGAATAATCTACTTTAACTTACCAGATAAATTATCTTGAACAAGTTTTATCTCCTCTATTTCGCCGTACTTTTTCATTATGTCATACAAATGCCGTTCCTCAGTACGCATAGACAATCCAAAAGCACCAAGTACACGAGATGGTTTGGGAGGAGATGATTCGACTCGACTGTCCATTTTACTACGTTTTTTCGGAACAGGACTAGTGTTTGAATCACGACTGTACCGCGGATCTTGGCGAAACTTCTCTACATCATGTTTACTACGTCGAAGTTCTTTACTGGGGGAAACATATTCCTTGTTTGGATTGTAGTAGTCATATTCCCTATCTTTTAAATCATTTTCGAAAGGCATTCGTGACTGGAATGGAACATCCCGATAACGTTTTCTTGAAACGGAATTTTCATATCTAAAACGAAGAAAAGATAATACATCATAGACCCTATTCCACGTAAAGTAGCTAAAGCAGTCTAATACCAACGATAAGATTAAATAATTCATTTAGAAGTATCTACATTTCGCAAACAATCTATGTTCGAAAAGGCATATTTGGTGTAATGTACGGAAGGATAACGATAATTCATATAGTGAACATAACTTATGGGCGATATTTATTCGAGTCATTAAAGAGCTCAGCTAAGTATGCAGACTATAGCTTACGATTTTACATATGAAAATTACGTTTTATAATTATCACCTAAATATATATCCATATGAGATCAACAAAACAATAGGTACAAAAATATTTAACTCATCAACTGCAAACAAGAACATGTACCAGACTATGAATCATATCAATTATCTGAGTTCTGATGGTACTTCCGAGTCATCCAGACATCTGTTAAAATATTAGTTGTCAAAAACGAGATATATAACACAAGTAAACTAGACTGCAGAACTAGGCTTTTTCGTTTGCTCAATCTGAGTTTCATTCAAAATAATTAAGTGTTACAGTGTAAAGTGAGACAAAAGTAAGACCGAGTTGGATCTAACATAAAAATTTAAGTTGTCTTGGCGAAATTTCAATTGGATCTATAACTGATACACCAGAGAGAAAAACGAAACCTTTGATCAAAGCTTAATAGACGTAGGTAAAGAACTACAATGATAGCAATACAAATGCATTGTCTGTAGACCACAAATTTCGTTAATTTCTTACCGAGCTCCTGACATTATTAATAATTTTAGTAGCAATAATTCAACAATTATATTTAAGTTTCTATGTAATGCTACGACCTACATTGATTACGATTGAAATACACTGAATATACAAACTTTCACTAGTGTGGTATACAAATTCAGGATGCTGGTTAAAGACCGTATCCGAACCAATGAAAGCTACAAATCAACATACGTTATCAAACAATGTAGTTTAAATGATTTGGACGTGCTAACATACAGTATGACTAATAATAAATGCGAACTATGAATGACTGCACTTACGCATGTTCAGCATGGCGAGAACCGTTACGATAGTCCCGTCCACTATCTCGATTCGAATAGATCGTTTCATAGGCCATTTAGTACTTAGCTTTTAAGAGTATAACTGAGAAAAAGAGGAAAACACATTTTAAAAGTGTCAGTGCACTTTAGAAAAGGCATCAAACTAATTTGCCGACGTAATTAACCTAATTACCTTAGCAACTAACCCATAGACTAGTGTTTGTGTAAAGATTCTCGAATAAAACCGTGAAAACCAACGACGGTTTCAGTTATAGAGGAACTTCGATAATTAAAGTACAGTGTATTCACTTCGAATAACTTTGATCAACAGCGACTTATTGTTTGCTAACGCTTGTGAGACTGATTATTCTGACATTTTCCCCACATTAAGTCTATTTACACCCATGGATTATGAACATATGACGGTAAATGTATTCACCCTTAAAATTTAATTTAAATTAGCTAAATCACCAGGTACTTGAATATGAGCTACTGTGTGAGGGCAAATGATACTACTCGATTAGCTAAAATAAGGTCGGTGGAGTGGGGTCTGAACCAGGAACTTAATGAGTGAAGGTAAAATGGCCTAACCACTAGATTACTGCTCCTGCATCCTGAAGTCCATTGAACCAGGAGATTGTATAAAACTGATTTCACATAACTTAGGTAGTGGAAAATGAGACTATTTACGTCCCAGACTCCAATGTAACTGAAACGCTGAAACATGTGTTTAGGCGACGGAAGTATGTCTACGTGGGAATTATACGGCCATACAAAGTAAATTTTAGGGGAGAAAATGGGAAGCTAAAACTGAGAGAGTATGAAATAGCTGATGATAAAAATATCATTAATCTGAAGCTTACACAATAAACTAATCTAGTCTGAATGTTACAGAACAGCTCTTATCTGTAAACAACTGTAAAAGTCAATAATTCAAAGCCTTTAACCACTGGTAGCGTCTATTCGCGGACTCCAACCAAGTAGTTTACCAATAGTTAACGAATTGTCACGTATGCTAAATGGAATAAAGTTAGGTGCCCGTAACTACATATGTTTTCAAAGATTTACTACTTTGTATTTAGACAGATCGACTCAGCCAACTGCATCTGTAGCCCTTTTAGGGTTGCTGCCGGTCCCCAGCAGGGATAAAGGAAGGCTGGGCAGGAGGATAACAATCTATTTCTTTAGGTAAAAACCTAGCTAAAATCGCTGACCAGAAAATAAAAATTTAAACTGCCCTCCGAGTTGAAGAATCTTCATTTAGAAGAATTATGATGCCTTATGATGGAAGTCGAAATTTCTCCGAAATCATGATGCCGATACCCCTTCTGACAGCCAAAGCAGAAATTAACATAGGTACATGGAATGTCTGGACAATGTGGTAGACTGGGAGGTCCAGTTAAACAGCTATGATTAAGAAATACATCATTCATTCAAAATACTGAGAAATAACCAAGTCAAAACAACTCTCAACAACAGGTTCCAAGCCTTACAGGATCTACACAAAGAAAAAACTACTGTGAAGAACAACTCGAAATAGATCAAAGAAGCGTTAATTACAAATCGCCAGAAGGTGTTGGGTCGCGAGAAGCACCATCATAAGGAATAGACCTTCATAGAAAACCTGGACAAGATTCAAGGAAGAACAAGAAGACAGCAATTAACAACAGCCGATCACGAGCAGAGAAATTCAAGGCACCAGTTGAACACACAGAAACAAACAAGCAAGTGAAGAGCATCAGAGCCGACAAGCAGGAATATGTGGAAGACCTAGCAAAGATAGCGGGTAAAGCTGTAAGAGAAGGAAATGTGAAACAGCTATATGACACAACGAAGAACCTGGCAGGGAAATATAGTGAAATAGAGATTGGTCGAGGACAAAGAAAGTCAGCCAATCGCTGAGATTCAAAAGCAGAGGAACAGATGCACAGAATACTTTGAGGAACTCTATAATAGGCCAGCTCCACTGAACATCAAAGAAGCACACACAGACCATCCTACAGATGTCACCCCACCAACGATAGAAGGAATGAGGATGGCCATCAGACCAATCAAGAATAGTGAGGCAGTAGGTTTTGACAGTATATCAGGTGAAGCACAAAAGTCAAATATAGAAGTAACTGCAAAGATGCTTCACGTTCTATTCAGGAAATTTGGGAGGAAGAACAAGTACTGATGGACTGGAAAGGATACCTCATCAAGACACCAAGGGAAGATCTGAGCAAATGCAAGAACTACAAAGGCATCACACAACTGTCAGTACCAGGTAAGGCTTTCAGCAGCGTTGCGAGCCTCATGAAAGAATCAGTAAACGCCCAACTTTGAGATCAACAGATCGGTTCCGTAAGAATCGGTCGCGACACTACGGATCACTGTCGAACAATCTGTCGAATGGAATTCATCACTACACATCAACTTCCTTGGTTATGAGAAAACATTTCAGTGTGGATAGGACAATATTGAAACTCCTTCGACACTATGGTGTACCTGAAAAAATCTTCAAAATCATGTGGAATTCATACGACGGACTACACTACAAGGTAGTGCATGAAGAACAGTTGGCAGATGTATTCCAAGTGAGGATCGCAGTTGGAGAAGGTTGCTAACTCTTTCACCTTCTTTATCCTCTGATGGTTGATTGAATTATGAAGACGTCTACATCTGATGGGAAGCATGGAATAAAATGGATATCATGGATGTAACAAGATGATCTGGCCTCTGCAGAAGACCTGGCCATCCTATCACATACACACGAACAAATGCCCTGTTACGGCTGAGAGCGGGGAGTCCGCTTGCCCTGTCGAAATGCTCTCACACGGCCACGCGTATATAGCCTCTGCCAGAGAAGTCCTACTCATTGCCTCGTGGCGGTGTTGTTTATGAAAATGAGAAGACGGAAAGCGAATGTCCGGCGCTTTAACCGGATTCCAAACCAATGGTGCACATGGGCTCCAGTATCCTGAGGGAACAAATGGCGTATGAGCCAATTGTTGGTCACCGGCTTCCATGGGACTGCATCTCCTTACGATGCTCTACTGCCTTGTGGGTCAGACCTTCAGGTCAAAGGTTAGGGGTGTGGCCCCCTAAGAAAACCACCTGTTTCGGTTTGGGCACCCGGGCAGTACCACAGCCCTCATACATATCAAACGAGATCTGTGTGGCGCATATGTATTTGGTGCATCCTTGTACCAATATCTGTGTTAAGATAAATAATAAAATAAATGAACAAATGCATGTAAGGACAGACAATGAAGCAGCAGCCTCTGCATCAGTAAGCCCCAACATACACAAGGGAAAAGCCATGATCCTCAAATACAACAAAGAGAGCACCAACTCAATAACACTTGATGGAGAAGCACTGTGAGAGGTGGAAACATTCACGTACCTGTGGAGCATCATCGATTAACGTGGAGGGTCTGATACAGAGATAAAGACAAGGATTAGGAAAGCAAAGACAGCATTCTTACAGTTGAGGAATATATGGGACTCGAAACAACTGCCAACCACATATAAGAGAACGGGTCTCGGATTTTAGCGCGAAATTCACTTATCCATTTTGGATAAATAAAATCTTGGCATTATAGCTGATGTCAGTTTGTGATGAAGACCCTAAATCTAATTTATAACCTTAATCGTCAAATGTAAATCATAATTTTAATTCCTCACACAGGTTTGTAATTCTCACTTGATCCTCGTTATTAGGTGGAAACTCAATGTCAGCCTAGCGTCGCTCAAATGTCGTCCATAAATTATAGTCTCACCCTGTCAACCAATGTCAATCTTCAATACGAACTTTAGAAAAATGCTACTATACGAAGCTGAAACTTGGAGGACTACCACAACCATCATCAAAAGAAACAGGTATTTGTAAACAACTGTCTACGCAAGAAACTATAAGTTTGTGGGTTGTACACTATCAGCAACAACATACTTTGGCTATGAAAAAACCGACTCCCATCTGAGGAGGAAACTAGAAAAAAGAAGCTAGGGAAGATAGTATAGAGATTGCGGAAATCACCAAACTGGATCACGAATAAAGTCCTAAATTGTAATCCTGAATGAAGGGAGAAAAGGAAGACTAAGGAACATATTGTGTCGAAGAATCGGAGACGAGCACCGAAAGAATGATTGCCACTTGTCAAAAACTGGAAGATTAAACAAAGAACAGTGCTGATTGTAGAACTCTGTTCGGCACCAAATGCAGCAACATGAGGGCTATCAGGTGTAAGTTAGCAACTCGCTAAACTTTTCAATCTAGTAATATATCACAAATAAAATACATCTCAAGCAACCAATAAAGGCGAAAAAGCGGAAATAAAGGGGATGAAAGTGTAAATAAAGGGAGAACGCCGCTTTATCGCCTTTACGTCAGTTATTTAGAGGAATGGTCGAATTCCCCCCCCCTACGTCGTGTATTTGGGGGATATTTGTCGACAACCATGCGGGTATAAACACGCATAAGAAAAGCGTACAGGCTTGAAAGGCAAGTATGGTATTACTAATTGTTTTAAACTGTATTCGCTAATACCTCTGTCGTGTTGACATTGAAAGAATAATTCCTGCAGAAGCGGTGAACGAGTCATATGTATATTAAGCATCACACTTTCCTAGGCAGAACTAGGGAACTATTTGTTCTAGACTACAAACAAATCTAAAAAACTAAAATGGACATGTAAAAATGTATTTCTATGCATATTAATTAGGAAACACAAAACACACAACGCAACTGACCACCTATCGACAACAAGCTTCTTAGTCGAAAGTCGCAACAAATCCTGCTACTTGACCTACTCAAACACATTCAGGTGTTTCAATGTAAAGTGAAATTATTAAATAACCCTTCACACACAAATAATGAAAAGTTGTTATTATAATGTCAGCCAACTGAAACTCCTTGATTTCAAACAGTACTTTCAGATAAATCTCATAGAACTAAGAGTACTACAAGCCCTAAAGTTTCAGTTTTAGTTTAAAAAGGACAGGAGACTAGATGGCCTGTGTTGGTCCTGGCAATAATGTTCTCTCGGTTTATCTAACTTCATTTCAAAAAAGTCGGCATATGAATCTTTAATCACGTGTTGAGGTAATGAATTCCACTCGTTCATGGTTCAGAGGGAGGGTCGATAATCAGCTGTCAAGTAATTTGTTTTAGGCTTGTGAACCTTTTCGAATTGTCCTCGTAACCTCTCTGTTTTAAAAGTCAAAAGAAGTGAGGGCATGTCAAATGCTAGTTATCACTTAGTAGCTCAGTGTTATTTATTATGTACATATCTGTACCTCGATGACCAATATGTATAACGAAACATCTAGTTGTACTTATAGGCAACTGCCAAGTTTGATATCATTCAGATAATTTCTCCAGGTCACTTTGAAGTTCTTAGCTATCACCTTTACTTCTTATCGCTCCTCATATCTTGATATCGTCAGCATATTGCAAGACCGGTGGTGATAGGAGACGAGGAAGATTATTTACAAACAAGAGTAATGACACTGACCCTAAAAATGCACCATGAAGCACTCCCTAGGCACAGTTTCCCAGCTAGACAACTTGGAGTTCATTCGTACTCTTTGTGGAAGCTTAAATAGGAAGTCTTTTATCTACATTAATAGATTGCCTGCAATCCCGACATTGCTTAACTTAACCAAAAGCTGGTTACGAGGAACTTTGCCAAAAGCTTTCCTGAAGTCAATGAAAGCTGCGTATATAGGTAGCTTTAGATCTTTAGGAGCGCACCAGCTTCCACGAGCCACTAATAAGTTAGCCAGACAAAAATAAATTATTCTTAAGCCATGATACTTTTCGAAACGATCGGGTTTTCTTCGAGACACTTAAAAAGCTCCTTCCGAATAATCATTTCTAAAATTTTAACAACCACGTTAATTAGGCTAACGGGTCGGATGGGGATTACAACAACATTATTCCAGTCTTTTGGCAATCGAAAGATTAAAACACATACTGAAGGAGTTCGCAACAAAGTTAGCTAGTTCTTTTAGTAGCCTGGGATGCGGTTCATCGGGTCCCCACAACAAGTGTAATAGAAATTAAAACTTGTTGTGGCAAGAATAATTAACTTCGCGTCCCTCGAAATATATCTGCAAACAGAAGTAATGGTTTCTTGGTCATCGAGAAGTATATACCTGCTCTGTTTTGAAGTGCGAAAACATTACTGAAAAATGGGAGAACTGACCGAATATTAGAAGCTTAGAGTAACTTCCCCCCAGTATATTCTGAAAGAAAATAAGTGTTGAAACTCATTTCTAAATATCTTTCAAACTCAGGTGAAGGCCAATTGATTTTTTTAGTCACTTCTTGGCCCCGTGTGGTCGGACAGTAATACAAAAGAGTAGTGGCAGTGATTTAGTTCCAGTAGTGTTTGGTTTCCCTATGCTGTTTATCTGGTACTCATAACCTTTGACAATTTTTTGTTATATAGGAATACGACGATATTCCTGAACTTAAATCACGATTAAGAACCAATCCCAGCCTAGAAGTCAGTGGTTTAGAGACCTCGCACTTTCAGTGAAAATGGATAAAGATCGATTAAATGAAAGATGGAGGTACTGAACCATACCTTCTAAATATTATCAAAGTTGTTCAACACCATAATAACCAGCTAACGGATAAATTTACAGGCATACTGTGTCACGAATTATGATAAGTCGAACGGATATTCACCTACATTTGCTCTAAAGTAGAGTCATTTTAAGACTGTGAGTGATAAGTATGACGAACCAATTATTTATTCCTTCGTTGCAAGCAACCCTCTAATACCACTGAAGCTTGTTAATGAGGCACATGGGTAGCCAACTGATAATTCTTTCAGAAAGTCACATAATTATCTATACTGATTCGTTGTATGTGACAGTCAGTAATTTGATGTCTAGCACTTCTGAATACGGATTCGGGCTACGAAGAGAATAATATATTTGACTTGAGAAACGAGAGGTTACATAGAGTGACCACACACGGATATCCGAGCACTCCCACGCCGATAGTGTTTCTGCATTCACCATTTCTGACCTTCTCTATGGTATTAAATGCTGACTCTAAATCTTCTCAATTATTCTGGGTTCGAATTCAAGGATCGTGTGCTTGAAAATCCATTCCACTAGAAATTCTCCTCATCAGTTGCTCAAATCTTGGAACCAACTACAACTGAAAAATTATGGGATGCCTTTGACCTTCATTCATCCCAATGTCAACTTCACAAATAACCCATGTGCGCACCATGCCTGATGGTGAGATTATATTTCAACTCTTTTGACTTCTTTCATCTATCGGTCACTTCCCTACTGCCCAGTACAATAAATGACACGTAGTACCTGCTCAGAGTAAGTCAACCAATTAAAATCTCCTGAACACTCGTAACACTGAGTTTGTTTAGATAAATACATCTACGTCACATTAGGCGGGATAATAGCACAATCTCAAATATCAACACAGAACTTCCTACTATTGTGTCATATCTAAACTTCTTTTCTACATATACACTCAACGAATTTCCAGCTACCATTCATAATTCGTGCACTCAATTACGATTCATTTGTTTGAAAGCAGTTTTACTTACACAGTGTTCGGTACATATAATCCTTTACGATTACCTTTGTAACTAATACGAACAAGTTTACAAGTTACTGAACTTAAGCAATCCCGTGTATAGCACGAGAATAGAGACAACTTTTTAAGCAAAGAAACAGTAAGTATGGTAAAAATAGACGAAACTTCAAGAGCAGCAATTGGCTAGTTTGTGATAGTATTGGTTACTAACTACATGATTCGCGAAGCTGAGCGTATAATTACTGAGAAGATATACGTTCTATATGTAACACCTTGAGGATGTCAACAATGATGAACGCAAGAACAACTGATCGGCATGTCATGACACGACAACGCAGGCGTGGTTACATTACATAACCCGTTGTTTATCCCATTGAATATACATCTACCTACCCAGCAAAAACGTGTTTTTCATATGTGTTAAACGCCATATTGCTGATTGGTACGATACAGCTAGTCAGTGTAGATAGTGATGTGACTTTCATGTGATATTGAAGTGACATTAGACCCTAACTATCGTAAATGATCCGCCCTTAGAATATTCTATGTAAAACCCTACCATGTTTCTCGCTAAAGTCGTTGCTGACAACATCTGCTGAATTTTCATCGTCCCTTCAGAGTACTCTGACTGAGTGATTTCCTGAATATCGTGGTCAGTTAGATAGAAATGTATGTCGTGACCTACCTCAGGATTTTAGAGTATAGCTCTTTCAGTACGACTGCTTCCTCTGTTTTAGAGAGCCTAATATCTAAATTACATTGTCGTAGTTAAGTTCTTGGTAAGTAACCCATCCGATGTCACTCGTTCTGTAACTAGTTCTTCGTCGAGTGGAAGAACATGAGTGCATACCACCCCGAAGTAATCAACTATGGCTTCTACTTTCTCACTGTATTACTCTGTAGAATTATGGTCTACTTCGTTACTAGTACTGCTCTGATGATAAAACTAATCCTAAAATTGTAGATTTGTCATGGTGTGACTGCCTAATCTTTAAGATCTTACATGGACATGTTATACAGAATGGTCACGTATGCGAGGCTGAGCTATGCCATCCGGTTTAATGAATGAATATTCCCGCATTAATCTTCTCTTTGAGTCAACTGCCAAATACAAATTTTTTTACAAATTATATCCTCGGCTTCAGAGGTCATGTGGTTAGTGTTCAATGCCACTACAACTCTACTACTTGAGATGCATTCTTCAGTAAATGAGCAGGGAATCCACGGGTGTATTCTTGTGATGTAATAAATATATGACTTCAGTTTGTGATGATTGATTTTTGTGTCTCATCTATGATACACTTATTGTGTCTTTATACTTATTCTGAAGTGCCTTGTAACGCTTATTTAAATTTTCTGCGCCAAGACTGATGATGACTTTCCGGTCTTTTCTAAGTAAATGTCGAACATCCTTGGTTATTTAGGGATGGCTGCGTTTTTCTCCTTTGTGACTGCTCAGGGAATAAACAGTCAATTAATTTGGTTGTGTGATTGCTGGATATAATTCCATTACTTTCTCACTGATTTGGCTACGTCGACTTTTCAGTCTTCAGCTGAGGTGACAGCTGATTTTCTTCATGTATGCCATACATAAGTTAAGATACACTAACACATTTGCTTAGAAGATTGTGGAAGCAACAAACGTGAGGAAGGTGACTAGGTGATCATTTCTCAAAGTGAGAGTCAAGTATTTTAATAACATGACCTTATACCCGTAAGCATATGGTGATTCATGGACAAAAGAAACTGTCATAAGTTGTAACTGATTGGATCTTTAATGTGTTGGACTGAAGCTATGGAAATTACGATTCCTAGAAGTTTGTAATAAAATCTATATCTTTGAAGATCTTGTCTCTAGGTTATTATGATGAGCGTGTGTTCTTGTTAATTACTATAAGGCTACCTTACATGTTTGACTAAGGCTAAGACTTACTTAGAACGAAACCACTTACCATAATTTCAACTTGATGATACATTACAACTAAGTGGGTGTTTTACCTTTGTTTCTCATTCGACGTCTCGTCGATTCATAAATTCCCGAATAGTGTATCACTTTTTGAACAGCTTGCATAATCAAGGAATTTTTTAATTACTAGTTAACGTCAACCTCCAACGGTTTATTCTACTGTTCAAATATTAAAAAACCGAAACACTGAATTTCGATGCCATCTGTTCCCGATATTGGCCCGATTTTTGAAATCACGTTGATATTAGATCTTTTGGTATTCACCTGTCTTCTGAGT